TTCATAAAAGTTTTAATATTATACATATTTAAAACGTTTAATAAAGTTAAACTTTTTCTAAGTAAATTCATAAAATTATTATATAAATGTGATCAAATTATATATATATTTTGTTTTTAAAACATTCCTATTGTTGATCCTTGCTTAAGTAGTACACCACATTACTCTTTCTCCAATAATACTTTCACGCTTAAAAAATGAGATCAAATCAAAAGAGGATTGCTATAAACTTCTACTTTCCTGCAAGAAAAAATAAACAAATTAAATTAAGAATTATATGGGTGAAATTAAATAAACAAATCAAATTAAATATTGTTACGATCTATTTTAAGTAATCTATATTTATGTCAATGAATAAAAATTAATTATTTGCTAAACTGAGTAGAAATTGATTTTCAAATTATTATTCTTTCCAAAATCTTAACTAAAGATTTGAGCATTAAACGTTTTTAAAATGTATTTATAGTAAGTGATTAATTTTTCCTAAAATTTCGATAACAGTTGTATAAAATTCAGTTAGTTGTTTAGGCAAATAATTAATGGATTAAGATCAACGTGATTATTGCTAATTGATCTGTTAAAAAGAAATGTTAGTGTTTTATGTAAAGTTAATATGAAAAGATTTAAAATGATTTTTGTGATTTTGTTTTGTTTTTAGTTTGGATTTTAATCCAACCACTCTTTCTTTGAATTGTTTAAAAGATTGTATAGTAGAATTTAAAGGAACAATAGATGAGATAAGATATGTGATATTAATTAGTTTAGATTGTGAATATATTCGAAATCAATTAGAGAATAAAGTTATTAAGTTACGATTAATGTGGCAATTAGTTTAGGTAATAATAACAAACTGAATTCTGCGAATGGTAAATGCTAAGTATCCGGAGATGATTAATATGGAAATAGTATAAGAATATGTAAATGAATTAAAGACAACATGACTTTATTTATCAGTTTGAAATTAAGACAACATCCCTAAAATTGCTTATCCAAGATCCGAATAGACTAAAACCGGGTCAAACCCGGATCCAAAAGAATTAAAGCAAAAATGTACTATAAAAATGTATATGTAGATATGCTAATTTCTCAAACAATTTAGATACACTTTTAGTCACTTGGTTTTTCCAACTATACCATAATTTAGACCATTTTCGATTTTTTACGAGACATTCATACGAATAAATTTTTTTAAAAAAGGGTAAGAAACAACTAGTTTCTATCGTTCTTCTACGATTTTGATCATAAGAAATTGGGTACGATTTCTAGTATTTTCTATGATTCTTACAATGGTTGCAACATAATTAATTTTTTTTGTGAGCTCTAGCCATTGACTTTTTTTTTTCTAACAATTTGAATCCGATTAGTGACACATCAACGATACTAATATAAATGATGGTAGTCAAAATGATTTATAGCTTTTAGTTTTATTTTTTGGGTTTTTGTATATATATTCCTTTTATTTCTATTTACCCGTACAGTTCATTAAAACTATTTTCCATTAATTATAATTTATATTAGTAAATTAATTTGCTACTAATATTTGAATAGGCATGTATTCAAGTAGAACATTTTTTTATTATTTTGAAATAGAGAAATTATATATTTATGAAATTAGTTGTATAGTTGTGTCTCATAATAGCAATCATGTCGTACTCATGATTTCAAGTTTTCAACCATATAAATACATTTTGCAAATATATCATTATTAGACATTATACAATCCTCAACTCAATCAATATAAACTTTTTCGTTGAGTAAAAATTAAGGATGAGACAAGTGATTGTATATGCAATTACTTTTTTTTTTTTTTTTTGAGTTTTTCTGTTTTTTTCTTTCGTAATTCCTGGAGAGTGTGCTACTCAGTTTTGGCCTTTTTCTTAGTTATTGGATTTAAAAGAAGATTATACGCAGAAAAAGCTCACGAGATTATACAAAGGTGAGATTGGATTTGAATGACAAGAATTTATACACTCATATTATACAGAAGGGTATAACATATGATAGTATACTATAGTGCAGTAAAATATCTTAACCTTTTAAAGATTATAAGATTTTTTTCTACTTTTGATTTGAGATCTGTACTCTAGTTCAAAAATTAATAACTTCACATAAAATAATGAGATAACACATTTTAAAAATTTGCGTGAAGTGTGAGTATTTCTTAAATGACTTTTTTTTTTTCTTTCAACAGCTGTAATTGATTTAGTTCAAAAGAGCCAACTCCTAAGAACATTGTTTACATATGGATAGGAGCAGTTCGACACAAATTTTTCGTACTAAATTATCTTCTTTTATATTTGCACGACGATAATTTTAAAAATGTGTTTATATGCATGCAAATTCGAGTGATCATTGTTGAGATTAAAATAGACAAACATCAATGTTGCTCACATAAAATTTCAAGTTGTTTTTCTTACTTAATTAATCTTGTAGGTACGAGAATTATCGCCCAATCTAACGGAAATTTATAATTAACAGTTGTACAATCAAATGTGATTTTCAAATTTTTAAGTTGCTGGATCTTTATCACATTTTAAAATGCAACTAGATTTTTTAAGTACTTAAACTTTTATGTAAACTAAAACATGCATTTATGTAATCTTGCCACACATCAGAAACAGTAAGATCTTTTCGATTTCAAGATCTCATTACCCAAACCCATAAGTAAAACTTTGAAGATCCTCGTAACTTTGGTAAATGATCGTATTTTGATAATGCTTGTAGTCATTCTATGATAAGTTTTTCGTTATGGACCGATAATATTTTAATTACCATTGTTCCGTTATTCACTATACCGTTAGAATCACATCATCCTTACTGAATTCCTCCTACAAATAATTCTATCAATACTTTTGATCTCGTCCTGACTCATGGCTACACTACAAGAATAATGGGTTTTTATAGCAGTATAACATAACGTTTGTGGGCTAAATGCTATGGTTATGAAACCATTTTATTAAAGATAGCGTTTGTGTATTTTTAAACGCTATAATATATTGTAATATTAAAAACTTTTGCCACGTTTTTTCTAAAACGCTTATTAATAGCAGACCGCTAATTTAAAACGCTATGATATGGTTAGGCGGTAATTAAGAAACCCGCGATACTTAGAAATTTTTTGGCTCCTCAGGTCAAAAGAACAAAAATCCCCAAATTTCTAGACCTAAAATTTCTCCCTCTCGATTTTGGCTCGATTTTGCTCGATTTTCGCCAAATCTTCATCAATCAGACTCGAGCCTCACAAATATCAGTCACATGCCCTAAAATCTTCTCGTCTCCCACACAAATCGATCTCCACTCTGAAAGCTCAATCGTCTCCTAGAGAAATCGCATATCGTTCTGAAAATCTTCTCGTCTCCAGCTTCAATCTCGTGTCTGTAACCAAATACACGACAATCCAGCTTTCTCTTTCGCTTGTGGTGGTGTCTCAATCGATTTACACAAATCTCGTCTCTGTAACCGAAAACGCTTCAAATCCAGCTTCCTCTTTCGCTTGTTTTCGTGTTCTTGCTCGATTTCTACCAGGTATCTCACTTGTTCTCTATTGTTGTTGTCGCTATCAGATCTCGTCATTCTGTTGTTGTGGCTTAACTGCATGCAATTGTTTTGTTGTTGATTGTGTAAACACCTTTGGTCGGAGTTGTTCCCATGGATAAAGCTTGGGTCTGGTTACCAAGGTAATCTCTGTCCTTCTTCTTCTTTGATTTTTTTGTGAACTAGCTTGGGTCTGTGATTTCTTTTTTTGATTTATTTGAATTCTTTGATTGCTAACAGGAATAGCCTTGAGTATGAGGAAGGAGCAACTAAGTTTGTGCTTGATGCAACAAGTTGTTTGGGTAATGTATTAGCTATGTTCTATCCTTGCGTTGATTGCCGGAATGTGGTTCATCAGTCAAATGAGACAGTGTTGGAGCATCTAGTGATTAGAGGGATGGATCTTAAGTACAAGAGAAGCAAATGTTGGAGTAAACACGGGGAGATAAGTGATAAGACAACAGATGTTCATGCGTCTGAAAATGAGGCTTATGACTTGTTTAGGACAGCTTTTATGGAAAGCGAGGGCAAGCAATCATCTCAGCAGAATAATGTAGAAGAGTCTGAAACAGTAGAGAGTAAAGAAGAAGGGGAGTTTAGGAAGAAGTTAGAGGATGCAGAAACTCCATTGTACTCTACATGTATGAACTACACAAAGGTTTCTGCAATTATGGGACTGTACAGGATAAAGGTCAAGAGTGGTATGTCAGAGAACTTTTTTGATCAGCTTCTGACACTAGTGTCATGCTACCTAGAGACAATGTGCTGCCTAAGTCTACAGATGAGATGAAGAAGTTTCTGAAGATTTTTGGTTTTGGTTATGATTCTATTCATGCTTGCAGAAATGATTGTATCCTTTATTGGAATCAATATGAGGAGTTGGTGAGCTGCCCAAGATGTAGTGAATCAAGATGGGAAAAGGACAAGCATACAGGTGAGGAGAAGAAAGGTATTCCAGCAAATGTGCTAAGGTATTTTCCGATAAAAGACAGATTTAGGAGGATGTTTAGATCAAAAAGGTTGGCTGAGGACTTGTGTTGGCACTCCACTAATGCTAGTCAAGATGGTACAATGCGGCATCCAGTAGACTCTTTGACATGGGTTCAAGTAAATGATAAATGGCCAGAGTTTGCAGCAGAGGCAAGAAACCTTAGACTAGGTCTTTCTACTGATGGGATGAATCCTTTCTCCATCCAAAACACCAAGTACAGCACATGGCCAGTGCTGCTAGTCAATTACAATATGGCTCCAACGGAGTGTATGAAAGCTGAGAACATAATGTTGACAATGTTGATACCTGGACCAACCGCACCAAGCAACAACATTGATGTATATCTACAACCTCTGATAGATGACCTAAAAGACTTGTGGAATGAAGGTATGGTAGTTTATGACTCATTTAAGAAGGAGAGTTTCACTCTAAGAGCTATGCTTCTATGGAGTATTACTGACTATCCAACATTAGGTACATTAGCAGGATGTAAGGTGAAGGGGAAGCAAGCTTGTAATGTTTGTGGGAAGGATACACCTCACAGATGGTTAAAGTTCAGTCGCAAGCATGTTTATATGAGAAACAGAAGGCGTTTGAGGCCTGATCATCCTTACAGGCGTAGGAAAGTGTGGTTTGACAATACAGTTGAGCTTGGTACTGCTAATAGGATTCAAAGTGGAGCAGAAATCTATGAGTGCCTTAGAGATTTTAGGAATGAATTTGGTAGACCTTTAGAAAAGAAAGGCAAGAGAAAGAGGATGGAAGCAGATGATGATGATGATGATGTGATTGCAGCTCAAGAGTATGAAGAAGATGATGATCAATGGCGGTGGAAAAAAATGTCAATCTTCTTTCAGTTGGCTTACTGGAAGGTTAGAATAATTATTACTATCATCAGTTTTAATTTAAACTAATCTTTATTATCTGTTATTGAGTGTCTAACAATAACTTGTAATAATTTTTGCAGGATTTGCCTGTAAGGCATAATATTGATGTAATGCACGTGGAAAAAAATGTTTCTGATGCACTACTATCAATTCTGATGCATAATGGAAAATCCAAGGATGGTTTAAAAGCAAGACAAGACTTAGAGGACATTGGTATTCGTAGCAACTTACACACACAGAAGCGTGGGAAGAGAACTTACTTGCCTCCAGCTGCGTATTGGCTTTCTAAGGAGGAAAAAAGAAAATTCTGCAGAAGATTATCCAAATTCAGAGGACCAGATGGATATTGTGCCAACATATCCAATTGTGTGTCAGTAGATCCTCCCAACATTGGTAGTATGAAGTCACATGACCACCATGTTATGCTGCAAAATTTGTTTCCTGTGGCATTGAGAGGTTTGCTGCCTAGAGGACCTCGTATTGCAGTAAATCGTATCTGCAATTTCTTCAATAGATTGTGCCAACGTGTAATTGATCCAGAGAAGCTTGTTACATTAGAATCAGAGGTTATAGAAACAATGTGCCAGTTGGAGAGATACTTTCCACCATCACTTTTTGACATTATGTTTCACATGCCAATACATCTAGCAAGAGAAGCACGCTTGGGTGGCCCTGTACACTTCAGATGGATGTATCCATTTGAGAGGTAATGTTAATGGTCTTACTATAGTTATACAATAAACTATTTGTATGATTTCTCTTATAGTTACTCATAGTAAGTTTTGTTATTGCCATCTAGGTACATGAAGACACTTAAGGCATATGTGAAGAATTTTGCAAGGCCAGAAGCTTGTATGGCTGAGGGCTACTTGGCTGGTGAATGTATTGCATTCTGTTTGGAGTTCCTCCAGAAATCTGTTCCAGTACAAGAAACTCTTAATCGTAATGAAGATCTTGAAGCAGATCAACAAATTCTTGAAGGCAGACCACTACATAAAGCTACAGAAAAGACTCTTACAGATAAAGAACGAGACATAGCTCATCGGTATATTCTCATGAATACAGCAGTCATGGAACCATACATTGAGTAAGTGCAAAGCTAATACAGATTTATGTTTAAAAGCTTGATGATTAAAGTGTAACAAAGAATAACTTTATTGAAAACAGGTTGCATTTGGAAGAACTGCAAGCTACAGATGTAAGATGTGCAAAGAATGAAACACTCTTGTGGAAATATCACACAGAAAGGTTCCCACAATGGATCAAAGATAAGGTTAGAAGAATGTCAATTGTGTAGTGTTTTTTAATTTCATGTCATTGACATTATGTTTCTCTGTTTCATGTTAGATACCAAGTAACTCAAAAGATCATTCTAGTAGATTGAGATGGCTTGCATTTGGACCAAGACATATTGCTCAAACTTACAAGGGGTATATAATTAATGGTCAGCGGTTCCACACTGATGATGTCAAGAGGAAAACCCAGAATAGTGGAATAACTTATGAAGCATTTTCTATGTGTAGATCAAGTGCTAAAGATACTAGACAAATGGCAGATACAGTATCATTCTATGGAGTGATAAAGGAGATCTTGATGCTGGACTACCACATGTTCCAGATTCCAGTTTTTAGGTGTATTTGGGCTAACAAAGGGAATGGAGTGAAAGAGGAAGACGGTTTCACACTTGTCAATCTCCATATGAACCAGTCAGCATACTTAAATGATCCTTTCATTTTGGCATCGCAGGCTAAACAAGTTTTTTACTCTAGAGAAGATGACAGCTCACCTTGGTATGTTTGTATGAGGGCGCCACCAAGAGGGTACCATGAGCTAGAAACAGTAGAGGAGTTTGTTTCTGGACCATTATCAGTTCAGCCAATTGAAGATTTAGGAGATCAATCATCTGACGACGAGAGTTTTTGTGTTAGGTCTGATTGTGAAGGTGTTATAGTAGAGGACTAATTAAAACTTTATTTTTGTTTCAGGTAATCAAAAACAATGAACCAAGTTACTGCAATCCGTCGCAGTAAGCGCCAGGCAGGCCTTGATGTCACTCCTGTAGTGTCATTGAAGAAGAAGAAGAGAAACAATAAGTCTATCATTGAAGAGAATGAAAGAGACAATGAAGAAGAGAGAATAGAAGTGGCTACTGAAGGAGATGATGGTGTAGAGGAAGAAGATATTAATGGAGAAGAAGATATTGAAGAACAAGAGAATGGAGCAGAAGATAATGAAGAACAAGATAATGGTATGTCTCAAGAGAATGAAAGAGAGAATGAAGTGGAAGATCCAATCCCTCCTTCCACAGCAGGTGCCTCTGAAACCCAGACAAACCAGTCAGACAACAAAAAGAGGAAGTCAAGAGGTCCAACTAGAATGCGTAAAGTGGCAAAGAATCTTGAGGATAAGGTAGAAGTGGAGTTTAATGCTCTTGGTGAGCATGTTGGTAAGGGATCAGTGACACTCTCCTCTTTCCTTGGTCCTCTAGTGAGAGAGCATGTGCCTGTATTGGTAGATGATTGGAGACAGCTTGATCAAAGGACAAAAGACGTTATGTGGGAAGAAATTCAGGTTATTTTTCACCTTTGCTTGAATAAAATTTATATGAGAGTGTTGTTTGTGCCTTAACTTGGCAATGTTTGACAGGGGAGGTTCAATTTAAAAGAAGATTGGCAGAAAGAAGCAGTATTTAGGCAAATGGGTGGTCTGTGGAGGGCTGCCAAATCCAAGCTTGTTACCAAAGTGAGATCTGCTAAAAGCAAAGTTGCTCTACAGAAACTGAAGCCTAGCAACATCCAATGTACATCAGCCTGAAACAGTTGGGTTAAGAACAAATGCACAGCAGCTTTTAAGGTTATTGTTTACACTCCTTTGATTAATTTCCTTAAAATAGTTATACTCATCTGACTCTTTTTTGTCTATAGGAACGAAGTGAGAAATACAGGCAACTGAGGAAAGGTCAAATTCCTCATACTACAAGCCGCAAAGGAATGACTCGCTTAGCTGATGAGATGGTATATATTTTGTTTTGCATTGGGTACTTTTATTAGTAATTTACTCATGTATATGTGCATGAACTTGTAGAAAAAAAACAGTTCTGATCCTAGAAAAGTTACTAGAAGTAAGGTGTGGATAGCAGGACATACACATTCTGATGGGAGACCTGTGAGGGAAGAGTTTGCAGAAACTATTGTAAGTAGCACTTAAAATCTTTTTCAATTGTTATTCAGGTTACTTTAAAGATTGTTTCTACATATTGTGATATAAAATTTGATGTCAGGAAATGATCAAGACCATTGATAGTGAAATGGACTCCACCACATCCACGGATAATGTTAAGGAAGATGCTGTGAGTCAGGTACTAGGAAAAGACAGACCAGGAAGAGTTAGGGGGATGGGCAGAGGCGCAACTGTTACTAAGTTAGCATTCTTACAGGCAAGAGACTCTCATGTCAAGAAGCTTGAAGCTTCTCAAGCAGAATTACAAAGTAAGCTTGAAAATTTGCAGAATGTGGTTAGTAACTTAGCTAGTAAAAAGGTAAACCTTTTGGCACTCATTGTTTCACAATGCCAACTTATATAAGTTTTGGTTAATTATGTGTTTTTTTGGTCATTGCAGAGACAGACTGATGATGTTTCCATGTCTGACTTAAGCAATGTTAGCAAAGGAGGAGTTATGTGCCAGCTTCTTGATTGGTGTTCAAATGTTGAGGTGGTTGTTGGTGAAGGAGAATTCTGCTCCAGTGAACACACATACAAGATTGGTAGAATACCATTGGGTCGCAATGCAGCTACTGTACTTGTGAAGTCCACAACAGTTATACATGCATCTGTCTGGAGACCTACTCCAACCATTTTCACACTTGGTGAAGCTGTTGGACATAAAATTGCATGGCCACTTGACAAGATTATATTGGATGAGGATATTAACTTGTCCCAACCTACTAAGACTGTTGAATCAGAGCAGGTAAATTACAACTACTATTGAGTTCCTCTTAAATTCATATTGGTTAGATTACTAATATAGATATATGCTTGTATGATACATTAGCCAACAGATGAAACACTAGGAAGAATTAAAATCTTTCAATATTGGAGTGGAGATGATGAAATGATTGCTGAGGGTATGTTGTTGTCAACTGACCATAATGAATTGGTGGATGGTAGACCTCTGGGACATGGTGCTGCAGTTGTTAAGGTCCTGGAGGTGGTTAAACCTGATGCTTATCTGTGGAGACCAAATCCTCCAATCTCATTGATGAGTGATGCACTAAATGAGACCATCGCATGGCCTATTGATAGAATACAACTCCTTGAGATACCTGCAAATGATGAATCAACCAGAAAATCACCTCAAGTAAGTTTCTCTGCAACTAGTTTTTAATTTAAATGGTATGAATACTTAAACTTGGATATCTTAGGGTAGTCACATGTTGTATTGGATTGTGTTGATGTTGCTGTGATGTTAGTCTGATGTAATTCTTTTTATAATGTTTGATTTTAGAGTGCAACTACTCCCAGTGCTACTACTCCCAGCACTGCTAGTAGCAAAGGTGCTAAGCAGAAGTGTTTTCTATTAGATATTGATAACACTGGGCAGAGAGTTGCAATAGGTCGGGTGTCTTCAACTGATCCAGCAGAGAAGGTTCATCACGTCCCTTTAGGTGCCAACGCTAGCAAGGTCTGGGTAGAGGTTTCCAAGGTTGAGGGTGCACGAGTGTGGAGAGCAAATTCTGAAGTTAAATTCATTGCTGATGCAGTAGGAACCACTGTGGCTTGGCCTAATGACAAGATTATATTCATGTGATTTGAGTTTTAGTACTTTTGAACTAAGTTTCTAAAAATGTAAAACTTATGTTTGACTCTTTTGGAACAAATAATTAATGAAGTATTTGATAATATAAACCCAGATTTTAATATTTTTATATCGATTCAAATTATATAAAACAGAAATATAGATAAATTAATATAATGCTATAATAAATTAATAATTAACATAACATTGCCTAAAACGTTGTTAATAATATTATTAATAACAACATAACTACGCTATTATATAATATTTAATTGCATTTACTAAAGCGCTATTGTATAGAACAATAAAATAGCATTACGAAAAAGCGCTATCTAAAGTGTCTGACCTATTATGACGGGCGCAGAAATAGCGCTTGTCAAAACGCTATAGTATCGTTAGATAGCGTTTTTCGGGTGCTACGAAAAGCCATTTTTCTTGTAGTGCTATATAGCCTATATTGAATTCTTTATTTTTTTATTTTTTATTGTTGAGTACATATATATAATCCATTATTGTAATTTTATTCAAAAGTAATCATATATAGTTAGTATAATAAGTTATTTTCACAATCATAACATAAACCTAAAGCTCCAGTATATTTTTAAAACAAACATGAAAATCAAATATTATAACTTGAAAGAAAAAACATTATAACAAAACAAACGAGCAAAGTTAATAGAAAGAAATATTAGCAAAACTAGAATGTATATCTAGATGATGAAAAAAACTTTGTTATTATCTATATACGCTCGCTCGAGAAGAATAATGGAAGACTTTCCTATCACAGAGAAACTTATTTGTTAACAAAAGAAAAACAAAATGGAAGATATGAAATAATTGGTTGCTACACATGCTATTCTATGCACGCAAGAAGAATCTTCACGACAATATTTGGAGAACTTCTAAAAGAACATAAACATGGATAACCTTACAAAAATGGTATGGGAAAAAAGTTTACAAAAATCTATGAACTCCATGACAATTATACTTTAAAATTCTTTGAGATCTTTAGATATATATAAGTAAGTAGAAATGTAATGTTAAATATTAAGTTCTTAATATCTTCAAGTTTTAAAATGGACAAACTCTATAGAAATTAACCTACCAAGAACCCACCTTAGAAAATATGAATAAGATGTGGGGAAAGTGAAAACGTATGCAACAATTCTTTAGTTAACCTTTTAGGGAGACACTTTTATGTTTTTTGTGCATCCTTTCTCCAACCCCACCGGAGCCAATCATGGACTCTCCTCACGCTCCTTTATCCGTCATTTTCTTATATCTCTACGTACTTCTTTTATATATCATTTCATTTTCTTATATCTCTACGTACTTCTTTTATATATCATTTCTCTTTGTTTGCAATATTCGTAACTCCAGAACTGTTTTTATTCGTATCTATGAAACTAATTGGGTGGGATTCTTCTTCTTCATCGAACTTGAAGGAAGTTAAAGAAATGGTGTGTGTTCATGTATGAAAATCATGGTGTTCAATTAAACATGCCCTCGAATAACAAAAACCTTTCGATAATGACTTAACTAGACACTTGATTTCCCATTTGACCGTGAGTTTGTGACCAAGTTACTATACATCCGGATCCCCTCAAGCTAAAGTCGATGTAAATTCGATCTTGATTTTTTATAATCCAAATAAGTCCTAACATTCCATGGCTAATATGTGTTTAGGCAGTATAAAAAATTGTCCACGGTCTCTCTGTGGTCAAGTCTAAGGTTACTACTCAAAACTCAACTATTCCCACCACATAGTGTCTTAAAAATAAATTTCAACCTTGCAACTTTCCATGTGCTTAGAGAGTCAATATTGAACCATCTTATAGTTCGTTATTCTAGACTTAAATTTGAGATTTTTCTACTTTCTAATTAGCCAAATTTATACATTATTCATATCACATCTCACTTAGACCATCGTCATCCCTAATACCCTTTATGGGTGTCCAACATATTAATTAATGTTAAAATTAAAGACACTCCTTTTTTGGAGGTCTAAAATGTCTCTATGAAGACACAAATCTAAAATTAAAACCATTCTCCATTTTATTTTTCTTTTTTTTTTATTAGTTTTATATTTAAATGACCAATGTAGGTGCTCTTAACGGTGTGTTGATCGATTTTATAATTCTCTCCATTATAAACAAAAACAAATAGTCTCTAATATTTTATCACTAAACTCACTCAACTCCACCAATGTTTTATTTCTATCTTATTTCTCTTCACTCTTTTTTTTAAACTTAATCTTCATCAATTTAGATGAGAATAATTCTATGATTTAGTTTGGTAAATCTTATGAAAATTTTATTTCATGACCTGTTATTAATTTTGGTTATTCAGGTAAAACATTAGTTAAAATTTCGTTTAAAAAGTTTACAGTAAAAAATGTGAAATGATAGTTTTCTTTAAAAAACACTATAGCCAAATCTTAGTAACCAGAGCTCCAAATAAATGGTGACACGTATACAAGAACGTGAAGTATACACAGAGAATATCAATGGCATATTCTCAAAATTTCGGCATGGTCGTCTACGCTCAAAACCATCAAAACTCAACACGCATACGAAACTGGAACCAAAGAGACAAACCCATGAACCATGCCTTTACTAATAATCATTACCCTAACCTCAATGTCGTTGTTACTTGCCGCCGGCGAAACAATCCCAACAACTTTAGACGGCCCGTTCAAGCCACTGACCCGCCGGTTTGACCCGTCTCTACGTCGAGGCAGTGACGACTTACCTATGGATCATCCAAGGCTGAGGAAGAGAAACATCAGCTCTGATTTCCCAGAACAGATTACTTTAGCTCTCTCTACTCCAACCTCCATGTGGGTTTCTTGGGTCACTGGTAAATTCTAACTTCTAAAGTTTTGTTTTTTAATTCAACTCTAACTCCAAGTCTCCAACTTGACTAATGTATGATATTTAGGTTTTGAATTTGAACTAGGATTGTGAGATTGTGTGCATATATATTCAGGTGATGCTATAGTTGGAAAAGATGTGAAACCGCTTGATCCTAGTTCGATTGCTAGTGAGGTATGGTATGGGAAGGAGAAAGGAAACTATTTGCTAAAGAAGA